GGAAACACTGTAGCTGCACACGGAAACACTGTAGCGGCACACGGAAACGCTGTAGCTGCACTCAGAAACGCTGTAACTGCGCACGGAAACACTGTAGTGACCCACAGAAACGCTGTAGCTGCGCACGGAAACACTGTAGCTGCGCACGGAAACACTGTAGAATTATCTGCTAACCAACAAGGAACACTTCTGTATGTAATAAAGACAGGAAAAGCACTGCGGACTCTTGTCTGAATGTGACTTACCTGATTTAATAAGGAGAGCAACTTAGGACTTCACAGCAATGCCCCTTGCATTGCCCGGCGCCAGTGCTGGTCGGTCTCACCTGACTGTCCCTGTTCCCTCGCTGCTCTGCCCTCACATGCTGACCTGTGTTGCCCGGGCCACTTCCTCCCTCACGTCCGCTGCTCCTGTCGGAGTCCTCCGTGACCACCCCTCCCGGCCTGCACGCCACTGCGCGGGGAGCCCGCCGTCCCTTCCCGGTCTTTCCTCCTCACCCTGCCGACACGCCGCGCCGCTCTCCGGGACGAGGCGCTCCCTTCCCAGCGGGACCCGGCACGCGAACACGCCGGCACACGCAGCCCTGGGGCAGGTCTGGGGCGCGGAGACCCGGGCCCGCTCTCCCCCCGCGGCGGGGACTCACGGGCCTCCCCGAGGCGGGGACGGACCCCCGGCCGCCGGAGGACGACGGCGGCGGCATCGGGGAGGACTGGAATCTGTGGAGGCCTCGGGGCGCCTTCGACCGCAAACAGACACGGACTACCGGCCCAGGGAGCGCAGGGCCCGGCGACTCCCCGCGGGTCTGACGGGTGGTTGCGGGGCCTGGGGCGCCCGCAGGAGTCCTCGGTCCCGGGGCGTGGAGAACGGAGCCAGGAAGGGGCCGACGAGCCCGGGTTTAAACCTCAAAGACCACAATCCACTTACCTGACCAGAACCTTCGCTTCCGGAAATCCTCTTCCGGGTTAGTAGGAAATTACGTGAGGGGCGGGGCCTCTGCCCGGGAGGGGCGAGGCCAAGGTGGGGCGGGGCCGTGCGGGAGAGCGCCGAGCGTGGGGCGGGGCCGGTGCAGAGGGCGCGGCCCGGCCGGGACGTGGCAGAGGGAGGGTGAGCGGGGACCGAGTGGCCGCGGAGGGGCGGGGCCGGGGCGCGGCCAGCGGGGGTCTGGGGAAGGCAAGCGCGGCGGACCGCGGCCACAGCGGAGGGGCGGGGTGCGGCCGGCGTGGGGCGGGGCCCGAGAGAGGACTAGGCGGAACCGGGACGGGACCCCGGCGAAGGGGCGGGGCCGCGACCGGCGTGGGGCGGGGCCGGGCCCGGGTGCGTCGGGAGGTAGGAAGAGGCGGCCGCAGACTTTCCGGTCGGCCCCACGGTAGGTGGCGCGGGCGGGCCGGCTGGCCGCTCGGGTCGATTGGCGGCTGCTTGGTGTCCGCGGGAGCTGTTGGGGGGCACTTCCAGGTAGGACCGGGAGGCGCGCGGCCTCGTGTCCCGCGTGCGCAGACGCGCCCCGGTTGGGGTGACAGGTGTGAGCGCGGCCCCCGTTGTCTGGGCCGGCGGGGCGCGGCGGCCCGGTGGGGGCGGCCTTGGGGCGGCGGGGTTCTGCGGGGTTCGGCGGGGTTCGGCGGGCGGCGGGGCTCTCTGAGTTTTAGGAAAAAAACCAGGAGACGTGTTAAAGCGCAGTGAAGGGTGCTTTCCTCAGGGTGTGGGGCTCTTTCTGCGTGGGGTGTGGGGACCCCGCAGTGTTGCCGTGGACGGCGGGTGGTTGTGCTCCACTGAGATGCGGTGCGCCACGTGGTAACACACCGGGGAGCAGAGTGGGGTTCGTGGGCAGCAAGTTATTAGGAGGAAACGTGAGGGTTTGGGTTGGTGGGAAGAGTGACCTGATAGGTTTCTTGCTGAAGGCGGTCCGGGATTGTGGGTTCGTGCAGGGTAAGGACTGCCCGGATACTGTGGGGCCTGAGGACAGGCTCTCCGAAATGTACAGTGACATCGGTTATTTTAAGTAAGAATTACTTAAGAGACAGCCCATGCCAGAAGGACACCCAGACTCTCCTCTTCCTCCCCGAGGCACGAAGTAAATCCGTCATGTGGAAGGCTCGTGTACAAAGGTAGTCGATTCAGATTCTGAGCCAGCAGAGCCGTATGCAGACTTCGTTCAAACCGTGAACCTGGTTGATGGCCCCTCCACGCGCACTGTACATCTGCTTTGTGGACGAGTCGCCTAAAGGAGAACCGATTGTCCTGTTGTAGTCAGCAGGGTTCAGAGCAACTCTGTGGGAAGAGCCGCGTGTTGTCCGGCAACTGCCGACTGGCGCTCGGTGCCCGCCCAGGACCGCTGTGCCTGTCCAGCTTCTCAGCACCTCATGGACGTGTTGCGTGAGTTCTGACTGATATCCCGACCTCCTCAGCTTGCGGTGACGGGCTTGATGTTTATTCCAGCTGTTGAAGCGTGCTGGTAATGTTCGTTCTTTTTCTTTTCTTTCTTTTTTTTTTTTCTTCAAAGATTTACTTATTCATTTTAGAGAATGAAAGAGAGAGTGAGAGCAGAGGATGACAGAGAGACAGTCTCAAGCAGACTCCCATCTGAGTGCGGAGCCAAATGTGGACAGATCCTACCCTGAGATGATGACCTGAGCTGGAGCCAGGAGTCAGATGCCCAACAGACTAAGTCCCCCAGATGCCACACTGGTAATGTAATGTTCCTTACGTGGGAATAACCTAGAGGGGATGGAGTTACTGGGTTGTTTTAACTTCGCATTATACTAATTGATGTTATTGATAAAAGCTTTGAGTAAATTTTCTGGCTAGAAATATGAAGAACTGAATCATTCAGCTTGGAAGAGAGGGGACATTTGCTGCTTCTGGCCAAATAGCACTTTCAGGAGACCTCCCAGGAGATAGAGCTGGGAAGTCTTTTTTTTTTTTTTTTTAAAGATTTTATTTATTTATTTGACAGAGAGACAGAGATCACAAGTAGGCAGAGAAGCAGGCAGAGACAGAGGGGGAAGCAGGCTACCCGCCGAGCAAAGAGCCCAATGTGGGGGCCGATCCCAGGACCCTGAGGTCATGACCTGAGCTGAAGGCAGAGGCTTAACCCACTGAGCCACCCAGGCACCCAGAGTTGGGAAGTCCTGATTGCTGAGGAAGGCCTGGAGCCCCTAGAGGTAGCCAGTACCAGAGAGGACCGACAGTCCTTAGTGTCAGATGAAGCCTTAAGAGGACCCCTGGGAGTGTGGGCCCCTGCGCCCTGAAGGCTCTGCCAGTGGGTGGGGTGGGCTAGACCTCCATGTGGCCGAGTGCCCCCCCCCCCGATTCTGACTGTGCATTGGCAGGTGAGGAAGGTGGGGTGAGGTTGGGACCTGGACTGGGCAATGTCTGGCCAAGCTGGGTGACAGGAGGACATTGTTGGGGGATTCATGGCATCTGCCTTTTTCTAAGCCTTAACCTGCATAGTTGGGTCTCTCTCTCCTTAGGGCAGACCTGGAAAACTTGGATTTCCCTGCAAGGTCAGGGCCTGTCCACTGACCAGGGAGCTGGCCAAATGTGGCACCTGGGAGCCCATGGTGTGGCCAGTCTGCAGGGTGAGTGACTGTCACCAGTTGAGAGCTGCCGTGTCAGAAAGTTTCAGAAGATGGTTTCCTGCTACCTGGAGGTTATACACACAGAGGTAGACTCTTAATGTGGTGGAAGATTTTCAGTATTGGCCGCTACATCTGCCTAAATTATGTTCCTGTATTAGAAAAATGCACATATTTCACGCAGTGAAATGCTGTAGATACGTGCATTGCCTTTCTGCACAGGACTGTGTGACTGCTGGGGTATTCTTCACTAAGACAGTTAGGAGATTGGATTCCTAGTAACCCCATGGGCACCCCTTCAGGGGAAGTGAGGTTAGACACCTCAGAGATACCTTGGAATGGGAGGGCTCCTGTCTGGGATGGTGTTGGGATGGTTCCAGAGTGAATCATGGCGCCAGTAACCTGGAGGCCTGGACCGGCCCCACTGCCCTCGCGTGGTGAAAGAGGTGCTGGACTCGGCACCCGTGAGCCACAAACCACAGCAAGGCCAGCAGCGTGGGCACAAGGCAGCATGTGAGAGCGGCCCATGAGGAGCAGACAGTATCTGCCTAATGTTGTCAGTCATCAGGAACACTGAACGTATTTGCCTTAAGGGCAGAGCTGGAGGAATCTGGTGGGGTGGTACGGGATGTTCTGGGGACCCTCCAAACAGACCTCTGGGAGCCTTGGGTGTTGAAGGATCCCTGGGCCCAGGGGGCCATCGAGTTTAAGCTGCCAATGTTTGAAAGCATTTCAGGGAGAAACCACTCTTTTTTTTTTTTTTTTAAGAATTTATTTATTTATTTATTTATTTATTTATATTTCTTTTCAGCGTAACAGAATTCATTGTTTTTGCACCACACGCAGTGCTCCATGCAATCTGTGCCCTCCTTAATACCCACCACCAGGCTTCCCCAACCTCCCACCCCGCCCCCCTTCAAAACCCTCAGATTATTTTTCAGAGTCCACAGTCTCTCATGGTTCACCTCCCCTTCCAATTTCCCTCAACTCCCTTCTCCTCTCTAACTCCCCATGTCCTCCATGCTATTTGTTATGCTCCACAAATAAGTGAAACCATATGATACTTGACTCTCTCTGCTTGACTTATTTCACTCAGCATCATCTCTTCCAGTCCCGTCCATGTTGCTACAAAAGTTGGGTATTCATCCTCTATGATGGAGGCATAATACTCCATAGTGTATATGGACCACATCTTCCTTATCCATTCGTCTGTTGAAGGGCATCTTGGTTCTTTCCACAGTTTGGCGACCGTGGCCATTGCTGCTATAAACATTGGGGTACAGATGGCTCTTCTTTTCACTCCATCTGTATCTTTAGGGTAAATACCCAGTAGTGCAATGGCAGGGTCATAGGGAAGTTCTATTTTTAATTTCTTGAGGAATCTCCACACTGTTCTCCAAAGTGACTGCACCAACTTGCATTCCCACCAACAGTGGAAGAGGGTTCCCCTTTCTCCACATGCTTTCCAACACACGTTGTTTCCTGTCTTGCTAATTTTGGCCATTCTAACTGGTGTAAGGTGGTTTCTCAATGTGGTTTTAATTTGAATGGGAGAAACCACTCTTGACTGTGGTGATATGTAGGTTTGGGAGCCGAAGCTGAGCCCCACAGCCCACAAGGTTGCTGACAGACAGAAGTTAGGTAGCAGGAAAGGGGCAACAGGCACCCACAGGCTGAGCCCAATTGTCAGGGACCCACTGGGTATGCATTGCCAGAGGCTGGCTGAGAGGTGTCTGACCA